TTTCTTATTATTTTATTATTTCTTGCATTAGAAAAATATATTTTTTTTCTCTACATATTCCAGTTTATTGACTTTTTTAATTAGAAACACAATTTTATTTAAAAATTGTAATCATAAATATCTCACACAGCATTTACATATTTTTAACATTCACATATTTATTTTTAAAAGATTTTCAGATTTCTGAGAAATATATATAAGCAAATTCTTTTTTTTAACTTCTCGCATCATACTTTAAGCTGACTAACAAGTTTTCTATTATCATCTTTGCCCAATTAACTTAAGATTCTCTTTTATTTGATTTATATATAAACGCTTTGCTTTGTTTCCCATATTTTAGCACTTTAGCAGCTCGATTTTGAACTCGCACTCACACCTTTAACCCACCCCCATACAGCTATATCAAATGTATCTGGCGAGTGATCTTTAATCTTGGCAAACAGCGCCCAATTAATTTAGCTTTCCGGCCTTAACTTGGGCTTTATCGCAGTGGAGATCGCCGCGCAGTGCTGGGCTGGTTATCATTTACCTCCAAAAACGCTTAACGGCTTCCTGTTCCGTGGGCGTCAGGTGTGTTATCTTTTGGGCAAACTTTGACTCATCGTAGGAAAGCAAATCGCCGGGTAGACCACCGGCTCCGATACCAATACTGTCAAGACTCACACTCATGCTGCATACGAAATTTTGCGGATGACTATGTCGGCTGGCACTAGGCGCTGCCTAATTAATTGGCAATGCGCTATTTTTGGTACCAAATGGTAGAAATTCTAATTAATTAAATTTGATTGGCAACGAAACTTCACGCCATGGCGACACCGCAGCTCTCAGACTGAACTCGGGCAAGAGAAACACATTTCATTTGCTGCACTTTCGGCTGACTCAGCTCAGGCCACACTTCACTAAGCACGCGAAAACGAATCTTTTGTATTTTATTGTTTATTTAGTGATTTTAGTTGAACAGCACGTATACGTTCCGCGCTCGAAAATCGCTCGAATCGAACTGAAAGCCAACAGAGAAAAACTTTACGAGTTGCCGCTGAACTTTATGCCCTGTAAGCGTATGTGTTTGTGTTGTTGTGGCTGAGTGTGTGAATGCTACGATGTATTTGTCTTTTTTTTTATTTATTTTTTGTTTGTTGACGGCCACAAAAGAGTGGCAAGACAGAACTTTGTTAACCCGGACGAACAATATGAATTGATTTTTGTTCCTCTCTTATTTTTGCTTTTTGGCCAGCTCAAAGCACGGCTCAACCATTCAAGAGTTATCGATACGCTAATTAATAAATATAAGCAGCAGCAAACCAGTTCAACAGTTCGAAAGAGTCGGGCTTCGTAACCTGTTGAAACACCCAAACAAACGTCATGCCCGATAAGCGCTTACAGCTAGCCGAGTATCTATGAGAGCGTGTATCTTTCACACACACGTACGTGTATCTACTTGCGTATAGTACATTAGGAGCACCCATTTGAAATGCTAGATACAGAAGCGTCAATATGGTTAGTTCTTTGCGCCTTGAATGCCTATAAAATGATTGATGAAGCCAAAGGGTGTCGCCTGGCTGTCGCTTTAGAGGGGTGACCGGGGTCTGCTTTGATGTTGCAGCCAATGCAGAGTTCTTTTGCTGACCTGTGGCTAAACTTTGAATAACTATTTATTAGAAAATAATATTACAAAATAATTACGGGTTTTTTAATTTTTTATTAGCAGAGTCAGCATAAATATTCCCTCTAGATTTTTTATATTCTACAAGTTAATAAAGCTTCGAGAATCGAGTGCAGTCGCCCACTTTGTAAACAAAAAGCAAATGCAACAACCAAAAACAAACGATAGACGCCAACATCGTCCGGACCAAGCTCGACAGCAAAATACTGTTGTTGCCCCAAAAACAAACTAAAAAAAAAAAACGAGAAACAACGGCTATCTCGACACACCGAATAGCTTATACCCTTGCAGACACTTTCCTTACGGCTCTGCGAAGAATAGCTTGTAGGTGCTGAGTTTTGTGAAAATATCTTGGAAAGCAGTAATCTATATAATATCTATATAATATAGAAGTGCCATCTTGATAAGATTTAGCTCAATATATACATATGCTGATAGGATTTTGCATAAATTTCAGGAGCAAACCTGCAAAAGCCAGATTAGGTCAAGATATCTTGAAAGACAAAAATTGTTCTTTAACTTAATTTCGATCATTTCTATTTGTCTCTTATTGATAAGATTTTGCATCTATAGTTATTGCATGGTTAACTGAAGAAAAGCCACGTTAGGTCAAGAAATTTTGAAAAACACGAGAGTTTTCCACACACGAACCTACTTCTCAACCTATCTATAGCTATATGATTAAGTGGACCGATCCGGCTGGCTCCGTCATACGAGTTCAGTTTTAAGAATGTAGATTCAAATTTAGAGAAAAAACGAACAAACCGACATAGCCGACAAGACAAGACAAGACCGGCACCGTTCATGACAAAACTATAATACCCTCTACAAGTGTATATTACACGTATAAATAAACACATAGCTTGTCGCACACACACACAAACGCACATTGACTGCCTGCGATAAGATAACTCCTAAACACTTCAAATCATTACAGTGCGTCAAGCTGCATGTCATGCCGTCTGTCAGTGCATGCACTACAAGACCGCGTAGAAATAAGAAAATGGAGAGAACAATTGAAGTTTACACGATGCTCAAACAAAATGCATTCCATTTTAATGAGAGATGATTAGTCGAAAAAATCTTTTAATACGAATCTTTAACATTGCAAGTTCAAATTTCTTATACTTTTAAATAAACTGTCAATGAGGAAAGAAGCCAAATATTTGTAAAACAGCAAGAATAATTATCTGTTATTTGTTATATTACATATTTTAGAAAATGATTTAACATGATTTAATTTTGAAGTTCAAATGCGCTGATATATAAAATACTGAGAAAATACTTATAAGGCTGAAGACCTCTGATTAGTTATATAAACTTTACAATAACTACCTATTATTATTACTATTTATCATTTTTAGATAGCGTCTTATTCAGATTGTTAAGTATCTTTTTTAATCATTAGTCTTAACACAGCATCTAAAAAACGAAGACTAAGACAACTTGCTTCTGACAAAACTATTGTTGATAAAGTCATCTTTCGTAGAATTAAAACTATATAGTTTTAAAGAGCACACCGCGTGTGTGTGTGTGTGTGTCTGTATTAGCAGACAAAGCGTCAGCTAATAAAAATGTTTATTTCAATTGTAAAGTAAATGAAATGTTTGCCTGTAACAGAAATTATGAATGGCTCATTATGGCTGGCTATTTACACAATTGCCGCCTTATAAGCGATAGCCTATTGTGGATTTCCATGTCAGGCCGCGTATCAGCGCTGCGTGTATTGAACTTTAACTAATCGAAGTATTAGAGGCATAAAATTGTATTAAAAGTATTATTAGAGGCATGTTTTGGTCAGTTGCATGTTGATTTATGCCTTAAGTTTATTAATTTATGTAAATGCGTGCCATGGAAGCACGCCTGAATAGATTAAAATGCTTGAAATTTTAGTTGGTTGCCCGCCCGAACTGTTAATGAGCTAACAACAAAATTTCATGCTCCATGAATGTGGCAGTGAATTCGATCGCTTATTAATTGTCGCGACCCTCGAGGCCGAGGCGTAGATACAAATTAGCTTCGACTTATTGGCAACTTATACAAACGCGATTCCGAGCGTTAAGTGAGCCGGTTATAATTCGCATTCTCGTATCGTTGGTATCTATGATTTCATAAACAAGTTTTGCCTGCGGATTTCACGGCTTTTAATTATGCGTTAGACAGTTCTGCACATGGAAATCTCATTGCGGGCCCCGCAATAAATGTTTAAATAAATGGCTGCAATTATTTATGCGTCACACCCAATCGATTTTTTCTACGATAGCTGCCGGTGCCTAAGGCCTCTCGAATCTCGATTCGCCAGCTCTCGACTTCGACTCAATGAAATTCAACCAAATGTTTTATTGATGTGTTGTAGATAATGTAATTTTGTATTGTTTAAATTGTTACCGCCTTGGCTGGAACTCATTTATTTTTTGTTTTTAATTTTTTATGTGCCAGCTTGACCGCCGGCGTGGATCCGTTTTTATAGCATTTGTCATTTTTTATTTTTTTTTTTTTCTACTTAAATTTTACAGGCTCTGGAGCTGTAAATGTTTTCTTCAAAGAGGCCCGTAGAGTGTTGAACTACTGTTTTGGTAGTAAGTGAGATGAGGTTTTAATAAAGTTGTCAAGTGGCAGTTAATGTCCGCTTTATTGCATTTTCTCGTTTGACTACTAAATAAAAGTTAGATCGATACAAGATTAATCGCGAAATTTACCGCTCTTGAATGAAAAATGCGGGCGAGAGAAATCTACTTTTCATAACTTTGGACAGTTGATTATAAATTCGATTGAGCTAAAACTCATTCTCAGATATCTAACTTAAATATTTATATAGACATCAAGTTCAAAATAATACGGTTAGATTTAAATTTGGCACAGTCAGGTTGCTTATAGAAAATTGATGTCAAAATACTTAAACAAGTCCTTAAACAAGTCCTTAAATTACCAACTTGTATTCTGTTCGATAAATGGATATTTTCATAGATTATGAAACTACTGGGCTACTTGCTTACTCACATGATACTTGGCGAAAGCCCGCGGCTATTTTAAATCAAGCAAATCTATAAATAATTAATTTACAAAATTCAGCCGCGGCTGCATCTTTTATAAAAGACATATAGCTAGAAAACTTGTAAGCCATAAAATGCGACATCTTGAAATATTATTGATTATAATTAAATAAATAATTCGCAATTCTATTCTACACATTTCGCAAATGCTGTCGGGAAAAATCCAAGCTAATCTATACCTGGGTCAGTAATTATATACTTATCAGCGCCCACAGAGAAAAATTGTTGCTGCATCGTATATAAAAGTCGCAAATCCGAAAATCAGTTCAGTTATTTGCTTGCAGCAGAAGCTAAGATGAATTTCTTCCATATGTTAGCCGTCATAGCTTTGGTCTTGGCCATTTTTATGCACCAATCGCGTGCTAATTGGATAGATGATATTGGCGCAGAAGTGGTAAGTAAAATATAACATAAAATTAAAAAATTGATAAAATAAATTATACATGTTAAACTCTTAGGAAAAAGCTGGCAAAGAAGTCGAAGAAATGGGCAGAACTGTCGTAAGTCTAAGATATATATATATATATATATATATATGTACATATACTAATATTTAATTATATATGCTGAATAACTTTTGCAATATCTTTCTAGGAAAATATGAACAATCAGTTTTTATACCAGCAATAACATTTGCTTCATTCTTATCAGAAAATATAAACTAAAAAAGATATTACTAAAAATTAAAAGATGTGAAGTACTCAAACAAATTTAGGAACATATTTGACTGAACAAATAAATTTTTTGTTAACTTTTTTCATTACATAAATTTATCAACAAATATATGTTTCTTCAAAAAACATTTTTACAAGTTAGTATAAAGTATTTCTATAGTCGGCATTGCCCAATTTCGCAAATCTGTTTACTTCGAATGGAAACAACTTATTAAGCTGATTAAAGTCATATATGTATGAAAAACATTTTTAGAGCAATTGCTGATGTGTACTTTGCTTTGTGCTTATAAAAATAGAAGTCAAGAAAGCTGCAGTCAATTTAAGATATATAAACTATTTAATACCCTGCATTGGGTAAACCGAAATACACAGAGATAATTCATAAACTCTAATAATGAAATTTGTCATTATACTTTAAGAAATTATTGAGACCAAAAGAATTTAAGGTGCAAATTCCAAATCTGAGCTCCTAAAGTTACAGGGTATAAAATCTTTGAGCAAGTGTTGCTTTCATGACGAATTGGCCTCACTTTTATACCCTGCCAGCGCCTATTAGGGAGTTTGACGAGCTGAGTATATATAACCACAAGACTGGCTATATAGAAATCATTTAGCATCTATCTTCATGAAACTATGCAAAGATCCATTCTTTTATAGCACATTTCCCTATAAACCTGTTAAGATTTGTTCAAGCATTTACTTTAAATTTATTGCCACATTTGTTGCAAGGGTATACAAGTTTCGGCAGCTCAGAAAGAAAATTCTTTTCTTATTTTTGGCAAATGATGCCTTATCAGCATCGTTGCGGCTGTTAAGCTATTTATTTATACGCAGGCCAGATAAGCCAGCAGTCGTCTAATTCTAGTAGCATCTGCATCATCTCTAGATTGAAGAAATACGCAAACTCAATATGAATTACAATATATTAGTCTTAATTGCCGTCATTTTGGCAGTCAATGTGGATGTGGCCAAGGCTAATTTGTGGGACAGCATAAAAGATACATTTGTAAGTTTGCACTAAACATAGATGAAGTACATCAAAATCAACTTTATGAACGCTTGTTTATTATAGGAAGACATAATTGACGCAATTAAAGACTTATTCTCATAAGATAAGTTCGTGCCAGTGTTAAATGCATTGAATTGTAAACCAAATAATATTTAAATAAAAAAATGGAATTTCTCTTTAAAAGAAATTCTGTTTCAGACAACTTTACTCTAAGTTTTACTGGCATCAAATTTGTTTGAGTTCTCTGGCTCGTAAGAGTCCACGTGTATTTATGCTAGTTTGCCGTTAAGTGTGAAAGGCTGCTTCATCTTCATTTCCACTCGAAGTGACGTCTCGCTTTTTGGGGTCATTTCAATCAGCACCTGTCACACGGTTCGAGCGTTGGCGTGTGAAGTATTTTGGGCTGTCGAGTTTCGTCTAGACGGCGGAGCAGCTCACTTGGCTGTTGTAAATTAATTAAAAGAAATTGTTTTGGCCGCTGGGCTGTTGCTGAAAATGTTTCCTAGAACATCGCTCGACACTTTCGCCCAAGACTTAGGTTTTTTTCCTTTTTAGTTTTTTGCATATCGATAAGCGGCTAGTCGCGGCCCGTTGCAGTCATAATTTATACGTTTCGGCGCAGTTTATGACAGGCTAACAAATTTCCTGCTGCCGCCCCATGTGGTCAGCAAACGGCGGCCAGCGCGATACAAGATACAAGATGCAAGCACAAGATACAAACGCCAAAGGCGGCTGCCATCAAGGCCGGCGACCGAGCTGCAAACTTATGACTGCCAATTGCCATGAGGCGCATAATGGAAAACAGAATGCACGCGTGCGCTGAAGCTTGAAGCCTGACGCCGCCGCCGTTCGAGTCGTAAATTATGATATACTCGAAGTGATGCCAGCCCAGGAGACCAAGTCAGGGGGAGGGCATAGCAGATGCATAAATATAGTTTTCAAGTTGATTGCAATCGGCAGTTAAACAAGGCGCTGGCCGAGTGACTGGCTAGCAAAGGTGAGCAACTCGGGGCTTTATCATCTTTGCCATGATCATCGCCTGACCTGGCCACCCACAGTCGCACAGATTTGCCAGCTGAGCTCGCTATTTGTCAATTATCGCAATGAGCGATCGGCTGCCATTTCGATCGCACGTATCTGGACTGTAAATTAGAGACAAGTCCACTCATTGCATCAGTGTGCAAACATTTTGCACTGGACAGCCGCTAAGTAGACGGTGAATACAGGCTGTTGCCTGTACAACTACAACTCAAAAGTAACAACAACCACAATGAAGCTAAGGTAAATGCTGCTACACTGAGTCGACATTTGGCTGGCATTTTAAGTCACGGGGCGTATACGCAATTTACATATGTCAATGCGAGTGATGCGATGAGGCGCTGCTTTATTAGGCGAACATATCGTATATACCTGCCCTCAGCTGCCGTCCTCTTACTCATTCCATTCTTCTTTTTGTTTATTGTGCCTGGTTTCCATAAAATTGGTAACATATGGCACATATTATTAAGTTGAACGTAACAATTAAAGACGTAAGCTCCGACCAAAATAAATATAAATATGTTAGATAGTCAGAAGAAGATTAAGAGCAATTAACAGGGTATCTGTAAGTCAGGCTTTTCAATATATAATCTCCTCTACCGAATGACTTAAAAGTGTCAAATAGATCTCGATACATTTCCTGGACGATAGTCAAACATACAGAAATATCGATCGTTTTTCAATATTATCTCAAACATACAACGTATTTTACATTGCCAAGCTACTAAATCATATACTTTAATTTAATTATGATTGCACCTTTGGGAGAGTGCAGTATCGATCCTTTTTATGTCTGAATGAGTGGATTTATTACTTTTAATAGAAAGCATTCTGTATATCTATAGATAAAATCCCAAATGCTTACAGATACTTCAGATTTAAAACTGTGATAGCGATTGCGGAAGAGTGCAGTACCGATACTATCGATGGATCATAATAATGCCACCAAGGAGGAAATGAGCACCTTTTTACATAGGATACATAAACTGCCACAGGAACATAACTGTAAGTCAAAATATTTAACTTTGGTTATTTTTTAAGTGCTGGGTAACCCTTAGTCGAGTCTGCCCGTTTGGCAAACTTGCATTTTGCTTTGCCCGTTGCCGCCAATTAATAAACATTTACGCTCTTTGCATTGATTGCCCGCCAGCGATAAGTTGAAGCGACTTTTAAGACCTGGGCGTATTGAGTTTCGTAATTGAATTCCAAATTTCGAATGCACGTCGGTGAAAGTAAGTCGCAGAAATTCATTTGAAAGGCCGCAGTCGATGACGTCTAATGCAAAACTACTTTTTGTTTCCTTTTCATTATTTCTGGCCATTTTTTATGTGCCAGTCGTGAGTGCATAAACAGTAACGAAAATGCAAAAATACAAAACAAATACTCTAACGATTTCCGAGTTCAAATTGATTTTGTTTTTAGTGCTGCTGCGCAATTGCCAGCTTCACCTAAGCCAGGCTTGCAAAGCAGGTGGAATGTTTCTAAAGGCCGAATATGTATGCAAATATTTGGAGGCCAAGCGAATCGGCTCGAGATGGTGACAACTAGTAAACATTTCAAACGCCAGTCGGCTTTGGTCATAGGAAACATAATTTTGTTTTGCTGTTGTGGAATTTCGAAATCGTATTTGTGTCATATGCAAACGAGCCAGTGAGAACAAAACACAAAACTGAAATTCGATAGCCCAAAAATAGCAACTATGTGGAGTGTAAATAATGAGTTGTGAACACGTAGAACGCTGTTGACATTTCGCAGTCAGCCCGAAACTTGTTTGGGGCAGAGGCGTAGGACAAAGGGATTTCTGAATAATATCACTAGCTGTTATTTGCTTACTTTGCCAGGGCTGAAAATACTAAGAAAATTGTAGTTCGGCCTGTCCACACAAGTTAAATGGCTTGCGGAATAATATATTTTTTAAATTTAAAGAAAACCATTTAGTTTTTAATTTAACATTGTTTTCTCTGTGTTTTTGGGCTTGGTTAACGCTTCGGTTCTTTTTGGAAAGAAAAAACAATTCCGGGCTCGAACCGGTTCGGTTATAAGCCTTGGTTCTAAACCGCTTAGGCTTTCAAACTCTTATCGATATATATAAAAAAAAATATAGAAAATGAATTTTCAAAAAGGTAACTTCATAGCTCAGTATTGGTATACACTATAAGCTTTTTGAAAAGTTTGGGCTCTTAACTTAATAATAATTTAATGGCACCGCAATAGATACTTCTTTCAAATCTAGTACCTCTATAGCTTCAAAGTGCATGCAAACACTTCGAACATAATCATCATCAGCCACTCGACCGCAAGACATAAAAGCCACAAATGCCACAAGCGAAATGAAGTAATTTTTGGTTCAACACTTGAAATCACGCCTGCAAATTTCAATTGCCCTCCAGTCATTATAATTATGCCATTATGATTACGAGTGCTCATTACATTGAGCAAAATTTCACGACAATGGGCCACAACCTTCAATGTGGCAACGCTGAAGTGTACAAATTAAATTGGACATTAAGCTGATGCCGGGCGTACGATGCCGACATATCCGACACAATAGACAAACAGTCAACAAGTTGGCTCTCACAATTGGCACTCACTTGCTGTCAAACAACGGAAGTTGTCTCCAAGGCTGCCGACAACGGGCTGCGCTGATTTCATTCATCCAAAACTCGACTTGAATTACTTGCAAATTGCTGGCAGCCAACGTTGGAGGGGGGCGTTCCAAAAACCACAATCTCAAACAGCTGCTGCATACGAAATGAGATTGTCAGCTGCCAATCAATATTTATGCATGAATTTTGGCATGTTCTGACGATTCTGCAGCCGCAGCTGCTGCCACAAAAATGTGCAAGCTCCACGAATAATTGGGAACCCATTTAACAAGTTTCCCACAACATATCAAAATTCAACAAGTGCAGCATCGAGTTAAACCATTATGGATATCATATCTTATAAGCATACAAAACTAAATCAGCCAGAAATGCAAAAAAAAATTAAGCGAAAACGAAATTTAAATGTAGTCGGTTTTGCAACACTCTATGCCAGGGCTGCAAAACGATCAGTGATGTATTTATGTACATACCTTATTCGCTTATTTTGATCAGTAGCGATATAAAAATTGTTCACCAAATTATAATTAAAGAACAGAAGTTTAATAGCTAACTAAATAAATAAGATCATAACGAAAAATTATTTTAACTAACTACAACATGTATGTTAAGGAAAGGTCATTAGACTATGAACCTGTAACAGACATAAATGTTCCCAATAGATTTCATTGTCATTATACATTGCTTTTTCATTATTATTATACATACCACACAAATAGTTGTGCAAACAACTTAACTAGCCCAAAGTACCCGTTTGTTAGGGCCACCGCAACAGTTTCTGTTGCCAACTGCATAAATCACAATGAAAGCTCCGGTTACCAGGGCCAAAACTGCAAAGGCAAGCGTTATTCCTCACGATGGCACTGATGATGGAACCGGCTGGCATAATAACAGAGAACAGAGCACTTCTTGGGCACGACGCAAATAACTTGCAGCGTGACTGGATAAAATGCCAAGCCGAGCCGAGCCACACAGAGTTTGAGCTGGTTGCCCAAGCTCCGAACTCCGTAGCCCATCGGAGCCATGCACTGGCGAGACATCTCCCCAAGTTTCCAATCGTCGCCGGTCGGCAAAATTCAAACAAATCGCTCAAACAATGCAGCAACAACAAAAAAATCGAAAAAAAAATATAATAAAATACAAAGCAATTTTTTGACACGACTCGCGCAACTTTGGCTTTCGTTGTTGCCTTTTTTTTGTGAAACTTGGCTGGGATATTAGAAAACCGCACAATGCGTTTCAGCTTGCCTCAGATTTCAGTTAATTGATTAGAAAAACGTGTGCATTTAGATAAGCTCTGAGACACATGATACTCAATAACCATAAACGCATCGCCGTATACGGCTCTTGCGTTGAACGTGATATTATTGTATTTTAAAGAAATAAAATGGTATCTAATAAACGAAATGTCTTGAATTAACTTTTACCAATTTGGGTTTGGTAGACTGAGCAGAGACCTGATATAAAGTTTTGTTTCTAACAACAAAATTACCATAAACTAATTTAATTTCCCTTTTTTTTATAAGCCACAAAACAGTTTAGTTGATTT